TTGAAAGAAAATGGGTCCTCAGCAGCTGCATCCGGTACGGCGCTGAAAGCTTTTCGTAAGCTTCATAAGGCCGGGAAGCTCGACGCGCATCTAGCCCAGTTCTATGACCGTGTTGAGCGCGGTGACGTGGTTGACCCTACTCCAACTGCTGTCTTACCAGAATTTATTCGCTTGAAGCGCCTTGGCTGTTAGTCTGTCGAATAAAAACAAAGAATATCACCAAGAATTACGGACTACACAGCACCGATAGTTAACATCCTATAGACTTGAATTCATTTTGCGCACTAAAACATTTACAATATATTACAGCATAGCTACAGGAACAAGTTAGATGACACATACCGGCTCAAGTAATGATCTAGAACACACTTACCATATCTACGAGTAGTATAGAGCCCGAGGGAAACCGCAAGTACCACCGCTCTGTGATTATACACCTCCGGCAGCATACCGCCCGCCCTACCGGGTCATTTTACATCGCAGCAGCGGGCTTGGGAAGCGGCAAGAGTGGGAGCTGCAGGCGGCGTGTCTTGGTCAGCCGTGCGGTGCGCTCAGGTGGTCGAAGGAGGGCTTGTCGCCGCAGTACAGCCGGCGTTCCGCGCGCCATCTTCTGTGCCGTCGTGGTGGCGATTGTGTTTGGAGAATGCCTGTGTGGCCTGAGAGAGCAGGGATTTTTTATTTTGAATCACGGCTAAGTTCGATTTTATTTCAGACGATTATACGGTTGGAAACCCGGTCGGACGGTTGGAATTTTTACGGTATGGTATAATGTCCACTACATTCCAACCGTTACCTGTCTATGCAGCCACATACTAACACCATTTTCCGTATTTCAACCAACCTCGTTTACAAACCTACACCAATGGAAGAAGCATCTGGATGGGAGCAGGTTTCCAACCATTCTGACCATATTTAGTTGGAATCTTTGAGTAATATTGTCTATCGGATACTGACTTTCACATAAAGTCATATTCTAAGAATATCCTGAAGTTTCTGACGGTAGCCAGCAGTAGGGGTTTCTGTACAGACTAAAATTGCGGCGTATCAGTCATGTCGATAGCATCCTTGGCCCCTGGTAACAGCAAGAAGGCGCGAACGACAGCGTTAAACTCCTTCATCACGTTTCTGGGTGCCGAAAGCATGACACTTTCAGCCGCGCACAAGCTCATCGATGCTGATAAGACGGGTAAAGTGCTTCGTATTATGCTAGACAAGTATGCATATTCACTAGCAAGGTCTCAGGACAAAATTTTAGCTACGAATACATGTCTTGCATATTATGGAAACGTTAAAAAAATTGGCTGGCAGATAAATACCCGCTACAGAGCGGGTTAGTAAAGCCCCAGCTACAAAAGATTTTATCGGGACTCGGAAGGTACTGCACAAATCGAGAAGAAAGTGGTAACGAACGAGTTGCTCCCCCGTGCTCAAAGCAAGATTTAGAAGCAATTGTGCGAATTCTATACACAACGGCATCAAATGAGAGCGAATATCTTGATTCCGCTCTCGTTGTTATGATGTGGTACTTGTACGGTCGTAGTTCGGACGCAGAACAAGTCGAGAAACAGCAACTGTCCATCCTCCGGGTACGCATTAATTGGTCTGACAAACAATTTCACGCTCTAACTAGATTTTAATAATGTAGGCGGTGTTTTATTCCTTCGCTTTAAGCGCGTTAAAACAGCAGTACTCCAGGGCATGTCCTTGTTCAAAGATCCCAACAATTTTCTAACATGCCCTCTCAACGCTATAGCTGTAGCGCTGGTGATGCAGAACTCTCCATGCAAACGAATGTTTCCTCAGTTTCTTAAAAAGAAGCGAAGCTCCACGAGCGTTCAAGATCTGGAGGAATTGTCCCTCGTAGAGCTTCTAGAGACAGAGGACGACCACACTTCTATGCCAGTATCGTCGAACTCAGCAGCCGCGTCACTGCCTTGGGCCCAAGCCTACGTTAACAGGCTGCTGGTGAGGGCTAGAGACAATGCCAAGCTTCATAATGTCCGGCTCACCCCTGGCCTCACTTCTCACTCGTTTCGCCGCGGTGGGGCTATGCACGCAAATGACGGGACCGTTGCCGAAAACTGGATCATCGAACGTGGAGGCTGGCAGCTCGACCGTGTGAACAAAGCGTTTGGCTATATGCTTGGGACGACACAAGCGGATCAGCGGGTATCTCGAGTCTTGAGCGGGTGGAAACTTAAGGATGGGGCTCGTTTGCCTTCACTTGCAGCACTTGACACACCGGTCCTTCGTCGGGCACTCAAACTCCAGGCGCTGATATTCTCGAACACTCTGGGTTTTGCTGACGAAGCCCTCAACCTTGACGAAGACGTAGCCGAAGTCCTGACTGGAATCAACTGCAGGGTTCGACTTGGTTGTCTAACTTCAACAAGCAGCGTGGTAACCGACGTAGCCATGCTGGCCGCGCTTGGAAGAGAGTCTTTGTGATGCTCGTGTTGGCAATCCAGGACGGTTGGTGTGACGTGGATATTTTGTTGGATCCATCCTTCTTGCATCTTCCCCGACGCGGAAATAAGGTGGCTTGGTTTCCGGGATCCGTATCCCGTCAAGCAAACTTGGAGGATCCCAACCTCCATCGCCACACTTATCTTGAACTACCCTGATATGCTGCGCCTCTGTGAACGCAGCCCATACGTCACGAAGATGCGAGAGGCAATGACTGCTCGCTCCGTCACCGAATCCGAGCTGCTAGCGTGGAGTATCACCGTCCGCCGTGCCTTCATACCACCTCTTGAGCCAAACCCGGCACCACCTGATAGAGAAGATCGTCTTGATTCTCTGTTGGAGCTGGTTCAGCACCAAACCAAGCAGATCGACGTGCTCATTCTGCAAAACAAACATCTGGAACAACGCTTGGTAGCAGTGGAAGGCCAGCTCCGCTCGACAGCCAGCACGACAACGCAAGCAGCAACTACGATCGACCCATCTTCCGCAACAACACCTCCACAACCACCACAGCCTGAAGTCAAAGCAGCTCGATCGAAAAAGAAGGGAGCACAACGGCTGGCAGCCACGTGGTTTCGCTTGGTTTACGGCGGAGCCTCGTGTATATGCCGCGGTATCTGTAAAAAAGGCAACGCTGTACGAGTTTAGACACACCGCAGGGTACATGATGCTTTTCTTACCGACTGGATTCGCACTGGATGCAGCGTCTCCAGCGTTCAAGAGCGAGGTGCTGGCCCTGGGTGAGAAGGCGCAAGAAAATGCGCTAGCATTCGTGAAAGAAAATGGGTCCTCAGCAGCTGCATCCGGTACGGCGCTGAAAGCTTTTCGTAAGCTTCATGAGGCCGGGAAGCTCGACGAGCATCTAGCCCAGTTCCATGACCGTGTTGAGCGCGGTGACGTGGTTGACCCTACTCCAACTGCTGCCTTACCAGAATTTATTCGCTTGAAGCGCCTTGGTTGTTAGTCTGTACAATAAAAACAAAAGAATATCACCCACAATTACGGACTACACAGCACCGATAGTAAACATCCGATAGACTTGAATTCATTTCGCGCACTAAAACATACACAATATATTACAGCATAGCTACAAGAACAAGTTAGATGACACATACCGTCTCAATTAATGATCTAGAACACACTTACCATATCTACGAGTAGTATAGAGCCCGAGGGAAACCGCTAGTACCACCGTTCTGTGATAATACACCTCCGGCAGCATACCGCCCGCCCTACCGGGTCATTTTACATCACAGCAACGGACTTGGGAAGCGGCAAGAGTGGGAGCGGCAGGCGGCGTCTCTTGGTCAGCCGTGCGGTGCGCTCGGGGGGTCGAAGGAGGGCTTGTCGCCGCAGTACAGCCGGCGCTCCGCGCGCCATCTTCTGTGCCGTCGTGGTGGCGATTGTGTTTGGAGAATGCCTGTGTGGCCTGAGAGAGCAGGGATTTTTTATTTTGAATCACGGCTAAGTTCGATTTTATTCCAGACGTTTATACCGGTACCGGTTGGAATCCCGGTCGGACGGTTGGAATTTTTACGGTATGGTATAATGTCTACTACATTCCAACCGTTACCTGTCTATGCAGCCACATACTAACACCATTTTCCGTATTTCAACCAATCCTCGTTAACAAAACGCTCATTTTACACCAATGGAAGAAGCATCTGGATAGGAGCAGGTTTCCAGCCATTCTGACCATATTTAGTTGGAATCTTTGAATAATATTGTCTATCGGGTACTGACTTTCATATAAAGTCATATTCTAAGAATATCCTGAAGTTTTTGACGGTAGCCAGCAGTAGGGTTTCTGTACAGAATAAAATTGCGGCGTATCAGTCTTGTCGATAGCATCCTTGGCCCCTGGTAACAGCAAGAAGGCGCGAACGACAGCGTTAAACTCCTTCATCACGTTTCTGGGTGCCGAAAGCATGACACTTTCAGTCGCGTACAAGCTCATCGATGCTGATAAGACGGGTAAAGTGCTTCGTATTATGCTAGACAAGTATGCATATTCACTAGCAAGGTCTCAGGACAAAATTTTAGCTACGAATACATGTCTTGCATATTATGGAAACGTAAAAAAAATTGGCTGGCAGATAAATACCCGCTACAGAGCGGGTTAGTAAAGCCCCAGCTACAAAAGATTTTATCGGGACTCGGAAGGTACTGCACAAATCGAGAAGAAAGTGGTAACGAACGAGTTGCTCCCCCGTGCTCAAAGCAAGATTTAGAAGCAATTGTGCGAATTCTATACACAACGGCATCAAATGAGAGCGAATATCTTGATTCTGCTCTCGTTGTTATGATGTGGTACTTGTACGGTCGTAGTTCGGACGCAGAACAAGTCGAGAAACAGCAACTGTCCATCCTCCCGGGTACGCATTAATTGGTCGGACAAACAATTTCACGCTCTAACTAGATTTTAATAATGTAGGCGGTGTTTTATTCCTTCGCTTTAAGCGCGTGAAAACAGCAGTACTCCAGGGCATGTCCTTGTTCAAAGATCCCAACAATTTTCTAACATGCCCTCTCAACTTTTTAACTGCAACAACTTTAATATACGCTATTGGAGCTGGAATTACCGCGGCTGCTGGCACCAGACATTGCCCTCCAATTGATCCTCGTTAAGGGATTAAATTG